TCAATGAACCTGAACCCGCTCTTTGAAACCAAGGGAGCGGCGGAGAACCAGAACCATCAGATGGAGGATGTGGAATTCCAGGAAGCCGAGCCCTCGCAGAAGACGGCTTGGAGCAAGGGTCAGGGACGATCCTTCAGCGATGTTCTCTTGCAAGATAACTGGTATGTTGCGGAGTCTGACTCCGAAGATGTTGCCGAGGCTATGCGGGAAGATGATCTCGATGATGAGGTCCCGGAAGATGACGATCCCCGCTGCCCTACGATCGCATTCACGGCTATGGAGAAGCAACGGTGGCGACGGGAATGGCGATCAGCCCTCATTGTCAAGGTGCTGGGGCGCTCGTTCCCGTTCCCGGTGATTTCCAAACGTCTTGAATCACTGTGGGCTAAGACTGGAATCCTGCAAATCTCGAGCCTCTCCTATGGATTCTATGCAGTCCGGTTTACTAGCCAAATTGATTATGAACGAGCTGCGGCTGGAGGACCATGGATGATCGGAGAACACTACATCACAGTTCGTCCGTGGAGAAGGAACTTCAACCCGAAGAATGCCGAGGTTGCCTCGACAATGGTCTGGGCTAAACTCCCAGATTTACCTCGTGAGTTCATCAACAGGGAAGCGGTAGAGCGTATCGCATCCAGAATTGGGCGACCTGTAAGGGTCGATCGGGCTACTCAGACTGGGGATCGGGGACGGTTTGCCAGAGTCAGTGTGGAGGTTGATCTGACGAAGCCACTCCTATCCCAATACAAAATCGAAGGGATCACGTATTACGTGGAATTTGAAGGGTTGCACAATATTTGCACAGAGTGTGGACGTTATGGGCACTCCAAAAGAACTTGCCCGACCTTGTTCAAAGCAACCGTTGCGGAAGAAGTGAATCAGCAGCCGCAAACCCCAGCGCCAGCACCAATCTATGGGGAATGGATGATGGCTAAGCCTCGGAAAACCAACCAGAAGAAGAAAGCATCACCAGGTCAGGAAACTGAGGCACAACCCATAAGGGAACCGGTAAGAAATGCTGGGGGGGAGACTAATGCGGGATCGGGCTCACGATTCCAGGTCCTAGCTGCGGAAGCCACCGCATCAGCAACCCTAGACTCTTCGGCCCCAGCAGACATGGAAGTACAAGCAAGCCTGGATGAGGAAAATGTTGTCCATTCTCCGGAACAACTCAGTCATCAAATCCCGATCCCAAATCATCAAGTCCAACCCCACCCCACTTCCCCATTGGGCCATGCAAGCCATGCAACCCAAACCGTGCAACGTAACCCGGCGAAGAGCAAGAGCAGTGCGTCCCTAGTTGATGTACCAGTGCATTTCGCGACCGAGAAGAAAACAAATGCTTCGACAGGGTCTAAGCCTTCTGAAGTAACGGGGCTGACCCAACATAACGGGAAGCAACGGGGCTTAGTCCGGCCAGGTCAGGAGAAAAATCAAAAAGCCAAGGGCACTGGTACCCCAAGCCAGACACCACAGACGAAAGGAAGGAAAGCCGATATGCCCCAAGGCAGCATTGGACAACCTCCAGGGCAACCCACTGCTCAAATGCAGATGAAGGACAAAGGGGCTAATGGCCTTACCGAGAACGGGTCTTCACCCGCTCTCTGAGTTTTATCTCCAGTCTGCTCTCTCGCGACGGCGGTGCCTCAGGGAAGTCTCTTCCTTTTGTTCCCGTTTCGCCAGATTTTCTCATTTTAATGATTGACGTTTTATCTTGGAACTGCCAGGGGGCAGGTAATGATCTTTTTCTTCCTCAACTGTTGTCTATTTGTCAGGTAAACAAACCCGACATGGTCATCATTGTAGAGCCGCGGATCAGCGGGGCTTCAGCTCAATCTGTTATTTCTCGGACGGGGTTCGATGGTGTCATTGTAGTCGATGCGGTGGGCTTTGCTGGGGGCATTTGGGTTCTTTGGCACAAGGCTGATATTGCGGTCACATCCCTCTGCGAATGGGAGCAAATGGTGCATGTTCGATGCTCCAGGAGAGGAACCAGGGAACCCGATGCTCTAGTCTCTGCGGTCTACGGCAGTCCCAACGAGGGACACCGTCAATCGCTCTGGATGGAGATCAAAAGGTTGGCCACTCAAGTCCGCATTCCTTGGATTTTAATCGGCGATTTTAACTCCATTCTGCGGCCGGCGGACAGGATGGGAGGGGTAGGCTTTCGCCCGGCTCGGGCCCAGCAATTCAGGCGTTGCATTGATGAGTGCCAGCTGCATGAAGTGGGTTTTGTCGGTCCGAGATTTACCTGGCGTCGGGGGAATCTTTCTCAGAGGCTGGACCGTGTCTTGTGTAACCAGCAGTGGCTCATGAAGTTCCCAAACACTATAACGAAGCATCTCGAGAGATTTGGATCGGACCACAGACCGATCATGGCATGTCCGGGTTCTACGCAGAAGAGACAAGGGAACCGCCCATATAGATTCTTGGCAGCGTGGATGGGTCATGAGGACTTCCCACGGGCGCTAGCAGAGGCGTGGATGAAGAGGGAAGGATTACCGCAGAAGCTCGATATGCTAACCAAGGATCTAAAGGAATGGAATCGGGATGTATTTGGTAACATATTCAAACGGAAGAAAAATCTCCTAGGGAAGCTACGCAGACTGGAATTGGTGAATGATCAGGGTGGTAACCGGGAGTCCCTTGCTGAAGAGGACCAGGTCCGAACTGAATTCAACGAGGTCTTGTGGCAGGAGCAACTCTTGTGGCTCCAAAAATCTAGAGAGACGTGGATTGTGAAGGGGGATCGGAATACTCATTATTATCACTTGGCAACAGTGAAAAGGCGGAAGTTTAACAGAATAGTAGCTCTTCGAGATGAGGGCGGGAACTGGATTCTTGATGCCTCGGCTCTCAAAAACCACGTCCGCGGGTTCTATAGGGACCTTTTCTCGGAAGAAGCCGGGCAAATCCCTTCACTGATCGCCAGATTTGCGAGGATTCCGGAGGCAGCGGCTGCCAGTCTCGAGGGTGGGCTGCTGGCCGAGGAAGTTTGGAGCGCAGTGCGGAGCATGGGGGGGCTTAAGGCCCCCGGAAAGGATGGCTACCCCCCGATATTCTTTCAAAAATGCTGGGGCACGGTCCGGGAGTCTTTCGCTAGCTTTGTGGTGGACTGCTTTGATCACCCACAGAATATCCGGCAAGTCAACGAGACCCTTCTAGTGCTGATCCCGAAGAAAGAGAGCCCGGACACGATCAGGATGTTCCGCCCTATAGGTCTTTGCACTGTAGTCTATAAATCGGTGGCCAAGTGCATTGTGAATAGAATAAAACCGTGGATGGAGCATCTAGTCCACCCTACCCAAACTAGTTTCATTCCGGGTAGGCATATCTCGGGAAACATCATCATTGTGCAAGAAGTCATCCACTCGATGGGATTGAAGAAAGGGAAAAAGGGGCAGATGGTGTTAAAGATAGACCTGGCTAAGGCGTATGACCGCCTCAGCTGGGGCTTCCTTCTTGACACTCTAAAGGAGGCGGGGTTCCCGGAGAAGCTGATTGCAGTGATCATGGAATGTGTCTCATCCACGACACTGCAGGTTCTGTGGAATGGAGAATGTACTGAGCCGTTCTCCCCGTCCAGAGGGCTTCGACAGGGCTGCCCTCTCTCACCATATTTGTTCACATTATGCATGGAGCGGCTAAGTCACATTATTGAACAGGCTGTGGAGGAGGGGAAATGGAAGCCGATCAGACTGAACCCAGGTGGCCCCCCTCTATCTCACCTTTTCTTTGCTGACGATTTAATTCTGTTTGCAGAAGCGAGCCTGGAACAAGGTGAGATCATTATGGACTGCCTGGGACAGTTCTGTCAGGCTTCGGGCCAACAAGTTAGCAAGGAGAAATCTGTAGTTTTCTTCTCGGGGAACACAAAGCGATCGATCAGCTCGGCCATTATCCAGCATCTCGGCATCCCTGCAACACAAGACCTGGGGAGGTATTTGGGAGTTCCGGTTCTCCATGGGCGGGTCACCAAAGGTACTTTCCAGTATATTTTGGATCGTCTGGATAACAAGCTTGCAGGTTGGAAGGCTAAATCGCTGTCTTTGGCGGGGCGTGTCACTCTGGCCACGTCAGTTCTCAGCTCCCTGCCTACTTATGCAATGCAGACCACTCTGCTTCCCATCTCCATCTGCGATGAGATCGATAAGAAAATCAGGCGTTTCATCTGGGGCTCCACGGCTGAAACCCGGAAAATCCACCTGGTCAACTGGGAGGGCATCTGTAAACCCAAAGAGGAGGGGGGGCTTGGACTCCGCCAAGCGCACAAGTTGAACCTTGCTTTTCTAACGAAACTTGCCTGGTTGTTTGTCAAAAAACCTGACGAGTTGTGGGTTAGAGTGTTGCAGGCTAAATATTTTAAGCAGGTTAACGGCGCGATGCGGGCTAAATCCATGGCTAGAGCATCCAATCTCTGGCGGGGGCTTAGGAAGGCGTGGCCGATCATGACAATGGGCATGAGCATGAGTATCAAGGATGGGCGGAGTACTAGCTTCTGGACGGATAGATGGGTGGACTCGGGCGAGCTGCTTATTGACCATGCACTGGACACCATTAGACCGTCGGACCTGGAGCTCCCCGTGGCCTTTTTTGCCGAGGATGGTGAGTGGAATATCCAGCTCCTGCGTTCACTTTTGCCTGAGGAAGCTGTTTTGCAGGTGTTGGGGGTTCAACCGCCAAGAGAGGGGTACGGGGAGGACTCCCCGATCTGGGGACCGGAGCGGGACGGGCGGTTCCGGGTCAAGTCAGCATACCAGCTCACTTGCCAAGGAGGTGAAGCCAGAAGCACAATTGATTGGCGGTCCATTTGGCGTTGGAAAGGACCAGCTCGAGTGACCCACTTCCTATGGCTTGCGGCAAGGGAGCGTCTCCTCACCAACTCGGAGCGACACAGAAGACATCTTTCCACCACCAATATCTGCCCCCAGTGCAAAGCGGCTCCAGAAACAGTCTTGCATGTGTTGCGAGACTGTGAATTTTCCAGGTTAACTTGGATGCAGTTCATTCAGCCTTCTGACCACCAGCGGTTTTTCAGTACCCATCTGCAGGATTGGATCCTTTACCATGTGCGACAGGAAGCTACTAGCCTTGAGTTCGGCATTATCTGCTGGTCCCTTTGGCGGACCAGGAATGATCGAGTCTTCGCAGGCAAGATCACGACCAGTGCAGCCTTTATACAGCGGGTCCGGGCATGGATAAATGTCGTGCAGAATGCCTTGGACAAAGACAGGTTAATCCATCAACCTAGTCTGCCCATAAGAACGGAGGTGGAGATCTCTTGGAAGCCGCCACCTCCCGAGTGGGTCACCCTCAACTCTGACGGCTCAGTTCACACTAATTCAGGTCATGCTGCTGCGGGCGGCCTAATCCGAGATCATACAGGACGTTGCTTGGCAGCGTACGCGATTAACCTGGGAAATTGCTCTATTACCCGGGCTGAGTTGAGAGGTGCTGTAGAAGGGCTGCAACTGGCTTGGGACACTGGTTTCAGACGTGTCAGAGTTGAGCTTGATTCTCTCTGTGCAGTCCAACTCCTTGGGAATTTGGGCGAGCCAGACCATCACCAGGCCGCCATTATTCAGAGATTCAAAGAGCTGCTCACTCATCAATGGGAAGTTGTTGTTTCCCACATCTTTAGAGAAGGAAATAAGTGTGCCGATCACCTAGCTAGTCGTGGGCACTTGTTGGCCCCGGGTTATCATTCTATTCCCTGTTCTGACCCCATTCTGTGTAATTTCATCATGTACGACTGTCAGGGGCTCTCTGAACCCCGTTTGGTTTTGAATGAAGGCTGAGATGCTCTGCATCCATTTATCAAAAAAAAGTACCACATGGTACAACTCTGTAACACATTTGTTTTAACCAAATTTTGAAATTTTTTGTACAGAAGGAACAGTTTGTGGTGATCTACAAATTTATATTTTTCCATAACCAAATATACCACCATGTATTACCATGTTATAAGGTGTTAACTGGTGGTAGATGATGCTAAAAGGTAGCAAATGGTGGTTAATGGGTAAATTGCAAGATACGTCACTGGAATTACTACAAAAGTTCATGTTTGGTAACTAAAAATATTTAATTTTATTTGTGGGCACTAAATTTAATAAAACATGTCATGTTTGGTCCCTCTTCGTTAATCGCCATTCTTCTCGGTTAAGGAAGACCGTTATATGCTAACGTGGCAAACAAGATCGCCTAATCACAACCTTTTTTAACGTGAAAAAATTAAAATTCGACGCACCACGTTATAAAACCTATTCCAACCGGTGATCCAAATATGGCCATCCGAATAACAACAACAAAAATAACAATTCGTGACCGCATCAACATTGTGTTTCCCTAATTGCCCCTCCCAAACTTATTGTATTAATAATCACACACTCATTTATGTAGCCAGCTATTTGTGTCACGCACACAGCAACCGAAATTGTCATGCATCACTCCAATACCATCCGTTTCTTTATTGCCACCAATACTACCAGCTACTCCTTTAATCAGGCTTAAGATAAGGTGTACAACCCATATGCACCCATCAATAATTAAATTTGGACTCTTCATTTAGAAAATCTAAATCTAACGATAGAGAATTAAACATCATTTTTATTTTTTCTAACTTTTTTAATCGACTCATATTTTAACTTGGATTTTAATTTTTTTTGCACAGATAGAATGAGTTCATTGTGTTCTACAAAATAAGATCAATTTTCAATTTTTTTTGAGAAAAAAAATTGCTTGCCTCTCGATACCAATTGCATACCATATGATATCTTCTTCGTTTTTAATTCGTTTTCGAAAACGTTTGCACAGAAGGAACGAGTTCATCATGATCTATTGGATCTACAAATTTTTGGGTGAACAAATTACAGGACCAAACAATACCACACTAGTACGGGGTGGTATCTTGTGGTACACAATGTTAAAAGTCGTAAATAACAGTTGATATACTTCTACTATCATGTAGTCAACCATCCTACAATCTTGGTTTGTTCATACCACCATGGTTCGCTTTTCAAACCATAGGTATGCTCTTATTTCAATACCAGTCAATACCATATGGTATAGAATCGTAAAAATGGCTCAATATATTTTGTTCGAAAAATATATCAAAGTGGATATCATTTTGAAGAGAACAATTAATCTGATCTAACTGTGCAAAAAAATTTTTTTTGACTTAAAACGAGTGAAAAATCGTCCGCCAAAGATTAAGGAGGAGAAAAATAAAGGCTTTCCAGGGGAGAGAGAGAGAGAGAGAGAGTGTGTGTGTGTGTGATGCTGATGTCATGCTGATGTGGACGAGTTACTCATGGTTACTTACTATAAGGTTACTGACCTTATCCATTCCCCTTTAATCACCAACAACCACTACCCTCTGCGAACCCATTCCCATCACAGTAAGATAAGAGAGGACGAGCTTTTCCCTTCCCTATCACAACCGCACACCATCATGCTCTCATCTCCTCCACTTCCCTTCAATACTGATTGTTGGGACTTTTAGGGACGAGGGTATACGTACGATAGCCCGAGACCGGGTGACCAGGATTGTGATAGAGTCGTGAACAACGTTCACTTTCCGAAAATAATATTTCCACCCTCAACAAGCTAGGGTTACAGGAAATTTCTCCCGAGGATAAAACTATCACCACTTTAGGTTCCAGGCTCAAGAACACTAAAGCATACTTAGAAATTTTTGGAAGAAAGAAGAAGAATATGTTTGATGGTATGTGGCATCATCCACCCCACACATATTTATAGGGGCCGAATCCATGCATTGTTTCATGACAGGTTGCCTTTATCCATACGAAATGTTGCCTTTATCCATATGAAAGGTTGCCTCTATCCATATGAAAGGTTATCCTTATCCATAAAATAATGCAACCGCCACTAGGCCAAAGGGATGTGTCCCTTCACGGAATTAGAATATCGGTTCGGTCGGTCTAATCCCAAACCGATTGGTTGGTCCAACCCAAAACCAGTTTGACTTGGTTAATCCGGTTCCACCAAATTTCCAACACTAATTTTCTCCGCCACAGATTCTCGCCTCCATCATCATCATCATCAACCTAGCTCGTTACACCCATCTAGCATTTTGATGTCGTCAATGTCGCCATTATCATTAATGTTGGAGAACGACAATGCGACCAGCCATGGTCCTTAGTCTCGTCTACGGTCTCTTACTCCGTAGGTAAGAACGACGAATCCCCAGCTCAGTTCAAGTTCCAAGTTACATAGTCAACTAGCCAAGGTTGTTCGTCGACGTAGCTTTGACGACATAGGTAAGTGCAGTGGTAGATCTAGAACATAATAGAGTACTGGGCCGCATTTGAATAGAAAATTCGATACCGTAAACAAAAAATAAATGATGAATATAGTTTTCATTATAATGTCAATTATACATGGCGGTCTCCAATTTAGCAAATTCATCAAATCATGTAGTCTTCATCCATACTCTATCTCAAACAAAATATATAGTTAAAAAATCAGTGAGAAATTCATTGCTCTTTTTGCTACATAAATAAGTTTTCACATGTTTCATTGGATAAAATCTTATCTCCGTAGTAGCTGTTGAAACGAGCTAGGTCAACATCAGACGAATCAATTAGTATTGTGTATCCATCTCTGTTTTCACTAGCTTCTCCAGTAATTTTACAAAGGAAGAAACTTCACATTCATGAGTATGAACCACATGAGCGACATACTATCGTAGATCATTCTTCAAAGAATGCATCTAATAGCCTTCAAAATCTCGAGGATAAACTCTTGAGCAAGTTTGTCAATATTTTCTTCATCAAAAGATCGGAAAGAACTTTTAGGATCCCGTGCACTACTCAACAAGTTTATAAATATTTTCTTTATCAAAAGACTAGAAAGAAATCAGCGCTCGACGAACTAGCCGAGGAATTCGTTTCGGGTCCGTTCATTTCCTCGTTCTAATTTTATATTTTGGGGTATTGGGGGAATTTTTTAAGTTCTGACAGAGAAGTGTGAGATATAGTTTAGAGGTTTTTTATTTCAATAAAACTTTATACTTTTAGTCTTTTACGTGTAAGGCTTTTAGGTTTCATTGTTTATTTTATTTTTTTCAAATGAAAGTTATTGGGACTTGAATTTTTAGTCTAAATTTAGAATATTTGTTTGGATATATTCATCTAGACCATTTTTAAGTTATACAAAATCATATTATCAAATAACATTGAACCGACTTTTTAATATCTCTTGGCCGAACACCTGAAATTGAAAAATTCATACATACTGTACTAGCTCTGGATCAAAGGAGGGCTGGGCCGTGATCCGGGGTGGCCCAGTCCTAGATCCGCCACTGGGTACGTGGTGATCGAACGACGATTAATCAAGTAGTAAAGATCCTTCCAACTCAGATCTAGGTCTAGGCATGTATACAAGGTAAGGAAACTAGATCCATCGCGTTTAAATGGACGTTTGGACTACTATATAGGAGTTTGTAGAATTCTGGGTAATTAGCGATTTTGAAGCTTTCTTCGTCGGCTCTATTACTGTCGCGAAAGGCTGACCAATTAGAAGCAGAGGCTGCCCTTTTAGAGACGAGCAGTAATGTGTTTTAGTAACGCCTAGGAATCCGTCACTAAAGGAGCTGTAACCTTTACATATTAATTATCTAGGTTATGAGTATCGATTATGTAGTGTCAATTGGATCACTTAGTAATTGATTTAATGGATCACTTGTTATCATATGTATCAGGATGTTAATCAATAACTTAGTAGTTGATTAGATGGTTTAGTTCGAGTTAGTTAAGTATTTGAACTAATTGTAAGATTAATAATGTTGTTAACAGGTTCTTCTAGCAATTATATATATATATAGTGACTTCCTACAGTAACTTGGGTATAATTTCAAGTTAGGTAACTTACATAGATCTAAACTGTTAAAATCTATCAAATTATTTTAAACCATTGATTAAAGAAATAAAAAATAAATAAATAACTAAAAAATCATTGGCAACAAGGGGTGGCCGGTCACCACCCACGTAAGTTACCATTCTTTGTTTTTTCCTTTCCTTTTTCAAATTTATTTGCTTTCCTTTTTTTACCCTTTCCTTATTTTAATTATTATTGAATTAGAAGCGTTACGTAAAACTTCCGTAATAACTTAGCACTTTACGTAACGTAAGGTTAATACTCATTACATAAAGAGACCTTCTATTACGTAAAGGGTACGGAATGATAGTTATTTCTTACGTAACAGTGAAATCAGAAGCGTTACGTAAAGCTTTCGTAATGACTTAGCTCTTTACGTAACACGACATTAACACTCATTACGTAAAGAGACCTTCCATTACGTAAGGCTTCCGTAATGACATTTTACAACTGTTACGTAAAATACACATTCATTACGTAAAGGTTACGAAAGGATAGTTATTTCTTACGTAACAATTAAATCGGAAGTGTTACGTAAGGCTTCCGTAATGACTTAACACTTTACGTAACGCGAGGTTAATACTCATTACGTAAAAAGACCTTCTATTACGTAAAGGTTACGTAACGAAAGTTATTACTTACGTAACAGTTAAATCGGTAGCATTACGTAAGGCTTCCGTAATGACTTAACAATTTACGTAACGCGAGGTTAATACTCATTACGTAAAAACACATTCTATTACGTAAGGCTTTCGTAATGATCTTTTACAACTGTTACGTAAGATTACCATATGTTACGTAACCATTACGTAATGTCTATTGTATTTTACGTAATGCGACCTGTGAAACCTGCTATCGCAGGTAAAAAAAATTCAAGTTACCTTACTTTAAGTTACCGTAG